GCATTGGATTGTGTTCTCTGCCTTCCCTTCCTTTCTGCTGTGTGATGAAGTGTGAGTGATTTTATCAGTCAGGTCCCTTTCCTGAGAGGTAGAAGTTATGATTCTTGCTCAGGCCAATGAACACCCTCTCAGTGAACATTGACAAGTTATACATATTAGAAACAATCCTGTGTGCCTTGGTTTCAAAAACTCTGTATGCCAGGCTTCGGGATAGATATTGTAAATGGTGACTTACTTCATTCATTGCAACTCAATAGGAATTCAATGAAACTTCTTTATGCAGATTCCACCAGGTACCATGTTGGAGCCTATAGATCTATGGTAGGAGAAGACAGAGTGTTTGCTTTCAGCTTGATGGAAGAGCGATGGACAATGACAAAAAGGTTATTATACTGTTGGCACTGGTGACATATGACCAGCCTACTGTTTTCCTGGAGCCATTCTCTTTGAGAGCAATGGTGGTTGCTGATGAATTAATTGTGCAGGTGGAGTGCATGACTGAGTGCAAAAAAGGAAGAAATCTCAACATTATACCTTTGTTAAAATATCTCAGCATTATACATTACAGAACAACTTCTCCACGCACATACAAAAGTGAGAAGCCAGGTCTATGTACTAATATACTATACAGTTCTTTGTAAGAATTATTTTCAAGATTGTAGAGGGCAACTTGCAGTATCCATGAAGATGCAGAGTGATTACTTCTTTGCCAATTGCTGGGCTGCCGTCACTGCAATTACAATACTGCAATTACAATCACTGCAATTACAGCATGCTCACTGAAATAGGAGACAAAACCTCAAGAAAAGACATAGCATTTATAGCATAGTGTGGTGGTTTGAATGAGAATGTCCCCCATTGGCTCCAAGTATTTGGACATTTTGTCCCCAGTTGGTGACACTGTTTTGGGAGGTCTTAGAAGGTGTGGCCTTGCTGGAGGACGCATGTCACTGGTAGGCTTAGGGAGTTCTTGAGCCTTATTTGGTCTTCAGTTTTTCTCTGCTTCCTGTGCCTGCTTGAAGATGTGAGCCTCTGATCCTGCTCTTGCTCCAGCTGTCTCCTGCCTCCCTGCCATGATGGACTGTAATTCCCCTGGAACTGTAAGTTAAACAAACTCTTCCTTTTATAAGTTTTCTTGGTTACAGTGTTTTATGACAGCAAGAGAAAAGTAACTAATACAAATAGCATAAAGACATAGACCTTACAAAAAATTTATTTTTTGTGTATGTGTGCATGTGTGTGGAAAACTTGCATGAGTTGGTCCTTTCTACCACCATGTTTAAGCGCAGGTCATCAGGCTCTTTACCCCCGTTCTAGTTTGCTTTCAATTGCTATGGCAAAACACTCTGACCAAAACCAACTTAAGGAGGAAAGGGTTTATTTGGCTTATATCTCCTGGGTCACAGTTCATCACTGAGGGAGCCCAAGGTAGGAACTCAGGGTAGGAACCTGAAGGCAGGAGCTGAAATGCATAGGTCATAGAGGAACCTTGTTTACCGACTTGGTCCTCTGGCTGGTGTTCAGCCTGCTTTCTTACACAATACAGGACCACCTGCCCGGGGTGGCACTGCCTACAGTGGGATGAGCCCTCCCACATCACTCAACAATCAAGAAAATGCCCCACAGATATGGCCACAGGCCAGTCCAATGAAGGCATTTCTCCAGTTGGGGCTTCCTCAACCAGGTGTGTCAAGTTGACAACTGATACTATTCAGCACACCCCCTGAGTCATCTCATTGGCCCTGTCATTTTTATTTCTATATTCAAGTGAAAGGAGAGAGAAGGGAATGGGTTAAGATGTGGGGATTTTAGAGCTCTTCAGATTTATTGTTATGAATACTGTATTTGCATGATTTTTGAAAAACTGCTGAGATAGTTTTAATTTGCAGCCTTGGAAACATGTAGTTATGATTATCTTTTAGTGGTGTGGTACTTGAAACATTAAAAAAAAGATAAATTTGGAGATGATGTTTGTTAGAAGGCTTTAGGATAGTATTATTTTCAAATGTGAGGTTATTTGTTTTCCATTACCTTCTTATAGGTGATCCTAATTTTACTGTACAAATTAATATTACTCTAATGTGCTGTTCATGTTTTTTTAAATGAAGTATCAAACACTGACAAGATAAAAGCTGCAATCTAGGGCATAAGAGAGAAATGCTATCATTGGGTTATCACAGGCACATGGCTAAATGGACATAATGCATTTTTCCTGCAGAACTGGGAGGTTGTGTTTTTAATGTTGGCAGCAATTGAATATATAAATATAGTCCCTTACCTTCTTATAGGTGATCATGCTATGTGACAATGTTTTGGTCCATGTCAGACCCCTAATACTATGGTAGTTTCCTAAGATTACCATAGAGCTCTGGTCACAGGTTTGTACATTGGTGTGAGACCAAGAAGCCACTGTGATGCCAGTCCCTTAAGAGTACAGCATATGCAACTTTGTACAGTACATAATATTTGACAGTGATAATAATAACTAAAGTACTTGCTTAAATATGTGATATATATTTCATCATAATTTTAGAGTCTATAATAAAATATTTATTAATAGACTGTATGCTTTGTTATGCTAGTAGCAGTTTCATATATTATGTTCTGTTTACTGCATCTCTTGTTTGTGTCAGGAGATCATGTTGAACAATTGACATATGCTGTCTAGGTTGTGTAAGTCAACTCTGTGATGTTACCATAATAAATAAATAAATCAGTTAATGATGTATTTCTCATAACACATCTTCATTGTTAAACAACTCATGTTTATGTATATGTGTGTATATTCTTATGTGTCAAAATTTGTAAGGTATTACTGCCATCTTTATTTAAAATGCTAAATAATGACAAATCATAGACATAGGAAGCATGAAGCAACCCCTCAGGAAAATCTTTCAAAACTTCATCTTCAACATAACACCCAGAAAGTGTCAAGTCATTCATCATGTATAATTAATATGTTACCGTCTTTCCTCCTCCAGCACAGACATTGTGAAATGACTCACGCAGTTTGTTGTAAATAACGCTGTTTTCAATAATTTGTTTCCATGTCTTGACAGATGTAGCATTTAGTTGTCAATCCTGAAAATTTATTTATCCTCCTTAGCTTTTGTTCTCGGATATATATATATCTGCTTATGCAAACATAGAATAGAATTAGAATAGATGAGAACCTTGTAATATTAGAAGTAGTGCTGTTTGATTACAAATCTTTAATTTCAGCACAACATTACTTATCAAAAATATGGTAATTGAGTAAGGTGAGATGTTTTTATGAAAATCAGAGAAACTTTCTAGTTTGAAGGTCAAGACACAAATGCATTCATTTAGTGTGCTTGATTTTATATCTGTACAGAGGCTATTGGTCAATGATTTCTTGTCTTTGGAAAGGTTTAAAATTAGAATTTTTAAAAACATTTATATTAGGGTGACATATAAAATAAATATTCTATCAATATCAAGTCATTGCAAATCAATTTTAGATTGGCTTCCTACAGGGGAAGTAGCATTTGTGTAGCTGATCTACAAATATCTGTTCTAGTATCTTTTCATTGTATTATTACATTTATTTACTTATTTAGTATGTGAGAGTGAGAGCCCGAGAGCAAGAAAAAGAGAGAAAGAGAGGAGAGGAGAGGAGAGGAGGAGGAGGAGAGAGAGAGAGGGAGAGGTTGGAGGACAACTTGTGGGAACTGGCTCTCTGCTGCCACCATGTGGGGCTCAAGGGGATCACTCAAGTTGTCAGTTTTAGTGACAAATGCCCTTAACCATTGAGCCATATTGCTGGTCCCTTGTTCTAACACCTTTATCTAGCAGTGTGACTTTGTGAAATTTTCCCCATCCACATTGGCATATCAATTGATGTTTTCAATGTAGGTCTTGTTTAGGAAACCATATTATTGAGATTTCTCTCATGTGTGGAAGACACTACCTTGAAGCAGGCATCCTGATCTTCTGGCTCTTAGAATCTTTCCATCCCCTTTTCCAGGAGGTTCCCTGAACCTTACGGGTGTAGGGGTGCATTGTAGATGTATCAATTTGGGCTGGGCATGCTGTGGCCACTTATTTTCTGCATTTTGATCAGTTGTGGCACTTTGTAATTGCCTCCATCTATTGCAAAAAGAAGCTGATGAGGGGTGAAATATGCTTATCTGTGGGTTTAAGAATAAGTTTTTACTTGAAGAAGTGCACATGGCTGTGGGTTTGTTCCTTCAGATGAAAGCTGAGGCCACTCAAGGACAGCCTAGATCAAAGCGATGTCTTTGGACCTCCAGTCTCTGGAAATTCCAAAGAGAAGAATGTAATTTGTATGGTAAAGGTTTCCTTGCTTCCAAATCCCCCAGACATATAATATATCATATATATCTAATAAGATGTTTAATTGGAATTGAAAGCCCATTAAATGTTAATCAAGAAGTCATTACTATGTGGGAATTGTGGGCACAGATTATATTAGTGAAACCTGGCCAGCACAACCATATAGTATAAAATATGTCAAATAACAAGGTCCACAAATAACTTAGAATCTAGAAATAACTAAAATTGATTGGTACTCTGTACAGCAACCCATGACAATATTTGATACATGGGTAAGAATCACTTTTGTTAAGAAATAACTACTTCAGTGCTGGATGTGGTAGTGCATTCCTTTAATTCCACCACTTGGGAGATCTCTACATAGCAAGTTCCAGACCAGCTGGCACTACAGGAAAAACAACAACAACAACAACAACAACAACAACAACAACAAAAAACAAAAACAAAAGAAAAAGAAAAGAAAAACTATTCAGGGTAATGTATTTCTTAATGATTTGTTTTCATATATTTATTTTTGACCGTTTCATTCATATACCTAATATATTCAATTATATTCACCCTCATTGCCCTCTGGTAACCCCCTTTCTTTCCTTCTTAATCCCTTTCTTCCTTCCAGTTAGCTCCCCAGTGGCTATACCATTGAGGAAAATTACATCACCTCCTCTGGCCACCATTAACAATTCCTCAGGAGGAAAAGGAGTCTTATACGCACCTCTACCATCCCTGGTCTTCACATCTTAAGTTAAGCTTACATTCCTGAGACAAACCCCAGTAGGTTAGTATTCAGTATTCTTCTTATGCATTGTTGGTTTAATTTGTTAATAGTTTGTTAAAGAATTTTGTATTTATGTTTAATAAAATATTTGTAGTTTTTAGTTTTAATATCTTCATCTGATTTTGGTATCAAGATAATGTTGACCTCTTAAAGTTACTAAATGTTCCTTTGTTCTTTCTTTTCAGAAAGGGCGTGTAGGAGGATGCTATTTCTTAATTAGTTGCCATTAGAATTCATCAGTGAAGCTAAGAAAATAAGCTTTTAGAAAACAGTTGCATTGATTAGGGAAATGACAATAATAGGCTCTCCTCTAGAATCTATGACCTCTGCAGCTACAGGTGTTTGGCTACATTTACAGTACCAGGTATGGGTTCCATCATACTGAGTGAGCCTTTAAATCCAATTAGACAGTTTTTGGTTACCCCCAATACAAAACTATCACTATTGCACCATTAGGGATATCTTGTTAGGCTGGTTATTACTGTGGTTCATAGGATTTACAGCTGGCTAAGACTATTGATTGCTTTTCTCCCTTGGCAGCTTGCATAGTACCTTCCAGTACTATGAGTGCTGGTCAGGAAGGAGGATTCCAGATCAATGTCATCTCAATTCTTCCAAATCCTATGTCCAAAGTGTGTGGTGCCTTCAGCAACAGGGTATTACTTTCAAGTTCTGGGAGGCAACTAAACCCAATGACATTAGCCTGTATTGTTTTAGGATCTCTTTAAGTACCCTGACTAACTATTCAAATGGAAATTTCCTGTGCCTGGAAGTGGAGCTTTCATAGACAGTGTATGGCTCTGTGGGAGTGGGGGGCATTAACATCCCATGCAGCGTAATTCCATTTCACATATGTATTTATAATGCATTGTTAAATATGCTTATAAAATAATGTTTCCTATGGTTTTCAAACATCCTTGGTGTTATTTATCTCTCATTCCTCCTCTCCCTCTGTACTACCCCTCCCCAGTTAAAGCCCCCCTCGCCTGTATTTCCCATTTCCTCCTTGATAGCCCTGTCATTTCTTAGAGAAATACAAACCATTGTGTGAGGTAAACTCCAATTAACTCATTTCACCAGGTAGAAGTGGTTGGAAAAATATCTTAGTTTGAACTGGGGAGATGACAGTGGTTAAGAGCATCCGCTACTCTTTCAGAGGACCTGAGCTCTATTCCCAAAGACTATGCCAGGTAACTCACAACCAGTTCCTGGGGGACCCTATATCTCTCTGTACGCTCATGCACATACCTAAACACAGACACAGACATATACACATAATTAAAAATAAAAATAAATCCAAAAATTTTTTAAAGATATTTTGGGCCAGGTGCAGTGGAGTGCTTTAATCCCAGCACTCAGGAGGCAGGGAGGCAATGACAGGCAGATCTCTGTGAGATCGAGACCAGCCTGGTCTACATAGCAAGTGCCAGACCAGCTGTGGCTACAGGGAGACCCTGTCTCAAAAAGACCAAAATTTTCTTTTTGTTTAAAATAATAACCAAAAGACACAGATACAAATGCAGCAGAACAGTAGTTGGTAAATGATTCTGTTAATTTCTCTATTTAGTAGAGAGTAAACGCCTAAAAGTCAAGTTCTCGCATTGTTAGCTTTTTTCCATGAATAGTTAAAAGATGGCTCTCTCTCTCTCCCCACGCTCTCTCTCTCTCTCTCTCTCTATATCTCTCTCTCTCTCTCTCTCTCTCTCTCTCTCTCCCCCAGCTTCTCATTTTCTTTGA